ATATGAAACTGTTTCTTCTAGAAGTATGTCATGTGGGTTGACTCTTATCTGTCAGAGCTGCTTTGAATCAGCACTTCCTAATCATTGTGGAAAGCAGCTATGACATAACAGGAGCATTGGGATGGGAGTACAAGGACCCAGGGTCACATTGTGAATTTTTTCTTTAACTGGGCAATTGTGTTATAACATAAAGAGTATTTTACATATGTGGGCTATTATTATGCCAGGATATACTGATGCATTATAAAGTACTCTCTGATCCATGTGGCACAAAGGTTTTCTCCACGGATAAGGGTCGGGGGAACCACAATATTAAAGATGGGTACATTTCTCTATTTCTCTTTGTTTATGACTCCTTCTCCTAGAATTCTTTGGAGACTTTTTCCTGTAGATCATAGCAATTAAGGCATGACCCTTGAAACTAGACAGATCTGGGCTTTACAACTTACTGTCTGATATTGGGCTAGTTATTTAGCCTCCCTAAGTCTCAGTTTTCTCATCTGTAAAATGGTTATAATACTACTAACCTGATGAGGTTAATTTGGGGATTAAACAACCTATTACAACTAAGGCACTTGCTGGAGCACTTGGAAAACTGTGTTTAATAAATAATAGCTTTTATTTCTCTTTTAATGCCATTCTTCAGTTCCTCCCAGTTTTTCTCATCATCTAAGTGTATCTCCAGATGTGCTGGCTTTTACAAATGAATTTAGAAGCAGTATTCTAGATATTCTTATAACTAATGAAGGGAGAGGTGGTAGTTGAACTTGCGCTCTGTCCAGAGATTTAAACCTGAAAGTGTAGACGAGTATAACCTGATGATCCTGTACTTCATTTTTTATTTTTTAGGCGAGGCAACCCTTGGTTGACCTCACAGTTTGCAAGGACCTTGTCAGCTTACAATCCCTTATTTTATTTTATTTTTTTTTACGCCTACAGCACCTGGTCTTCCTAGATAGTCTCTCATCCAAGTATTAACTAGGCCCTGCTTAGCTTCCAAGATCAGACAGGATTGGGCTTGTTCAGGGTGGCATGGCCGTAGAGTCATTTTTTCTTATGAGGAGGTTTGTATTTGATGAGCTTTTCCCCTTCTCTGATTCCTAAAGGGCTGGGAAGATGGAATGCTAGGCATGAAAAAAGGAGGGAAGCGGTTGCTTATCATCCCTCCAGCCTGTGCTACTGGCTCTGAAGGGGTGATAGGATGGACTCAATCAGCAGACTCAATCCTGGTGTTTGAGGTGGAGATAAGGCGGGTGAGTGAAATTGTGCTGTAATGTGTTTGATGAGTCCTCTTTGCTAGTTAAGTAAAATGAATAAGTATGTTTGAAAACCAGGTTCTGAAGGCTTTTTTTTTTTTTTTTTTTTTTAAAATAGACGGTATAGTTGGAAAGAGCAACAGCTTTGGAATCTAACAACCAAGGGTTATATCCTTCCTGGCTCTGTATTCGTAGTCTGGGAGAGGTTGTGACTGAGCAAATCACTTCTCTACACTAATCTTTCTATTTCATCCTTAAAATAGTGATTTCTACACAGTGAGCATACTTTTTGACTTAGTACTTCCATGGCTACAAATTTATCCTGTCAGTAGGTTCACATAAGTATCTAAAGATAGCTATATATTAATAGATATATAGTTTCCTCCCTCTGCCACATTGTTATAGTAAAAACCTGGAAACAACAAGTGTCCATTATTAAGAGACTGGTTAAGTTATGGTTTTTTCATAGAGCAGACTTTTATGTAGCTCTTGGAAGAATACCCCAAATCTCTTGCTAAGTAAAAGAAGGAAATTGCAAAGCAGTATGGATAGTGTGGTCTTTTTGTGTGTGTATGTTTGTGTGTGTACATGCACATAAATGTATACCCAAATATACATATATTTACACAGTCATACACAAGTACATATGTGTGTCTGTGTATGCCCATATAGTCATAGAAAATTTCTGGAAGCATTAAAAGGAGTTATTCAAAGTGATGTTCTCTGGAGAATGGAAATGGAATTCAGAGACTTCTACTTTTTTACATTTTACCCTTTTGTACAATTTAAAATTTTTATCATGAATATGTATAATTTCTATAATAAAATTTATAACAAATTGTGGTTAATTAAATTAATGCTACCTCCCTCCTCCCAAGAAAAAAAAGACCTATTTGCTTTACACTGTGATTGGTAAGTTCAGATATGATATGATCATATTTGTGACCATAAAACACAACACAAATAATAAACACTATGGTCACCTTTATTATGGCTATTATTCTTGCTAGTACAGAGGAAGGATATGCTTTTCATCTCAGTGACTCTTTCCTAACTGGGCACCCTTATCTCTGCTGCATTATTTCAGCCCTCTTTCGCTGACATGCTTCCAGCTGCTTTTTCGCAAGTGTTATATTTTCTCAATTTTCCTTTGAGTTTGAAGAAATCATGGCTGGAGATAGATAACAAACCGCTTCATATCTATCAAGACTGGCATTTTTGTAAACATAAGAAAAAAATATTTTTTACCAATAATCAAACAGTTACAAATTGATTGCTTCTTAAATTGACAACGCTGATACAAAATGATTATGCCCAGTGTGGCAAGAGTGTTGAGAAAGATTTATACACTACTTGTAGACTATAAAGTAGTTCACCCTTGCTGGTGTGAAATTTAATGGTATATTATCAGAAGTCATAAAAATGAGCATACCTTTCATCCAACAATTTAACTCCTGGGAAGTTATTTTTTATTTTTTTATTTTTTAAAGATATATACATTTATCTATCTATCTATCTATCTATCTATCTATCTATCTATCTATATCTATTTACCTATCTATCTATCTCCTACAGCACTTGGTATTCCTAGGTGGTCTCCCATCCAAGTACTAACCAAGCCCGACCCTACTTAGCTTCTGAGATCAGACAAGACTGGGCACGTTCATGGCATGGCCGTAGACTCCTGGGAAGTTTTACTTTGGAATTATTTAAGATACGTGCAAAGATATAGATATAAAGCTATTCATAGAAGTATTGTTTGTGATAGGAAAAATTAGAAATAAACTGATTGTTCAACTTCTAGGAATTGGTGAAATGTATTTTGTAATAGCGTAGATATTTATATCTTCTGTTCCCAAAATCTTTTGGAGGGTTTTTTTTTTTTTGGTAGATAACACAGTTAAGGATATGACCCTTGAAGTTAGATATATTCTTTAGTAGTTAAAAGTGATGTTATAGGTCAATAATTTAGTAACATGGAAATACGTTAATATATCAGTGAGTGAGCAAAGCAAATTACAAAACAGGATGATCCCATTTTTGTAAAAACAACACCCTCCTACATACGCAGATAATATAAATGTGCAATATTACATCCAAAATTCTTACAGTGTTATTGTTTAGTAGTTGCAGGTGATTTTTTTTTCCTGCTTATCTGCATTTTCTGATTTGCCTACAGTGAATAGGTACTGACTTGTATAATGAAGATTAAGTAAAATACAAGGAGGATGGAGGGGGAAGAGTGGCTTTTTGGTGGCCTCTGTGGCCCCTTCTCCCATACCTGGTGCTGACAACCTCCCTGCTGATCCTGTTGTGTCACCACCCACATCAGTGCCTTTCAAATCAGGGTAAGATACTGAGGTTATATCAAGCTCTTTTATTATCCTTAAAAATTGTTCTTAAAGGGGTTCAGAAATAGGGATATAGTTGAAAACTTTTGAATAACTGGAAAAAATGGGATGAAGGAAATGGGGAAAATATTTGCATTGGATTTTTCTGACAAAGGATTAATATTCATCGTCTATAAGAGCACTAACTCAGATATTTAAAAATGTCTGCAAAACTCTGGGAGAAAGTTGGGCAAAAGGCATAATCACAAAATATTTTCCCAAGGAAAAATATGTAAATAATAAACATTTGGATAGAAAATTATTCATCTTCACTAGCTTCAGAGATTATGCAACTAAAAAGTTAAAATTCTGTTTTACAGCTAATGAATTAGCAAACATTTTCAAAAACAATTTGTTTATCCAGTATAATTGGACTCATGATAAGGGATTTTGTTTTCATCTCAGGATATGCTCTGCTTGCTTTCAGGGAGCCAGCTCTTCATACCAAATCTAACTCCCTCAGTGAACAGCTTACAATAAATACAGTAAGTTTATGAATCTATCTCCCTCCCCCCAAATTTGATGTAAAGGTTTCAGGTGCCTAGGGTATGGTAGGGTAGAGAAAAAAAATGTTGAGAACTATAGATTTACGTAGAAATCAATGGTTACTTTATTCATTTCCTCCTATTTGGGAGTCAGTATAAATTCTCCTGGGCTTCTACATAGACTGACTTGGGTTCAGATCTTTATTATAATCATGTGGACTTGAGAAAGTTATCCAACTTCTCTGATCCTCAGCTTATTCATTATTAAAAAGGAAATAATTTTCCTAGCCCCCTTATTAGTGTTCTAATAAGGACTAGAGATATGTTTATAAAACACTAAACTCAGAGCCTACATATATCTTCAATGTCTCGAGAGATTTTTATGAGTTGTAAATGAAATAATGGCTATGGAGTTTTTAGTATTATGTCTGGCATATTGTAAAAGCTCCATTAATATTGGCTCTTATTGTAATTATTGCTAATATTACATATCTTCATACTTTCATTCTCTCAGAGGAATTCTGCACTAATTCATCAGCTAGTTGATTTTGAGTAGGTCACTGGGCCTCTGTGTTTCCACTATAAGATGAGAAGACCAGCATACTATTGTAGTAGAATTTGGATTTGAATGTCTTTAGGAGGATGTACTCTGTAGTTTGCTGCTACCCTGTCAGGTCCCTGAAGGCTCTCAGTTTTCTACATGTGGATGAGATGATAGCTAAAGTATTTCATGTTCTAAAGTCCTGTGGCCTTCACCTGTCACATTGGGAAACAGGATAATTGTGTGTAATGAAATTGATAAGTAATTACTCTCCAACCGTAGTTAACTCATTTATATTCAGCTTAAAGCAGGAAATTTTTAAGCAGATAATTGATCTGATATGTGTAAAAAATGATCTTATAAACCCAGAAGGTTAAGCCAGAGAATCAGAAGAAAATTAAAAACAATTATAATCTCAGATCTTTGAACAGCCACAAAAAATTATCCAGTATTGATTCCATTGTATTCTGTAGACATAGCTACTTTTGTCACCTATTTCTAAGCTTCAGTAACTTCTGGTAGACTGCTGGTCTCTAGCCTTTTTTTTTTTTTTCCTTTTTTGATAGTTGTTTTTTCTAATTGAGGCAGAATTCACACAACATAAAATTTACCATCTTTTGTTTTTACATTTAAGTTTTTTTTTTGTTTTGAGTAGGTAATTACATTCATATGGTATAGTTATCAAAACAATATAACAAGATATACATTGAGAAGACTCACTCCCACCCCTGTCCCTATCTACCCCATTCCATCTCACCCACCTTGGGTAACTGCTTTTATTAGTTTTTTATACTTTCAGTGTTTCTCTCTGCAGATGCAAGCAAATAGAATGTATATTTTATTTCTCCCCTTCTTTCACAAAAAATAGCATACAATATATATTACCTACCTTGCTTTTTACATGTTACAATATATAACAATATTTTTCCACGATAGCATATAGAAAGTTTTCTTACTACTATTCTATCTCTAGCTCACAATATTCCATTCGCAGATATGGTTATATAACTAGTCCTCTTGATGGATCCAACTTTTTTTGGTTATGTGTCTCCATCAATTAGAAATAATTAAGAAAATTTATGTAATTTACAAAATTTACATAATTAAGAGAAATGAGCACACATTCTCAGTCTATGTCTATTTATAACTTATGTACATAAAGTACTGTCAACCCCTATAAATTGGCTTAATGTCTTGTTACTGTAGCTTAAACTGATTTAAAAATTCAGATTATCATCATTTCTTTCTGTACTCAGTAGATCATCTTATGCACCCTCAGAGGTATGTACTCTCTGCTCTGAAAGATTTGCTTTGGACTAGTTAATGGATACAGAGGCTTCTAGCATAGGAGCTAGTGTGTAGTCCATGTGACTACGCCGGTGTGTAGTGGGTAGTCAGTGCAGAGTTAAATGAACCTGAGTTTAGAACAGAGAGCTCCTGTTTCCTGCTCTCTCCAAATATCTTCTGATATCTATCTACTAAATTGCTCCCAGGCTTTTGAGAGGGTACTACCATCTAAAACGCCTCCCTTCCTCAATCTGCACTTTAGTTTTTCATCTGTAAAATGAGAATAATTATGCCTGGCGGGAAACTTGATTGAAATGAAGTAATCCATATGAAACCACTTTGTCCATTACAAACATTGGGAATTATTTTTACTGCTATTATGTATGACCCATGTATGCTTCTAGGCAAGAAAACTTACTCATTTTCTAGAATGGTTTCAAATAGATATGGCAGGGGGACTTATTAGATGTGATACAAAAGCCAAAGACAGAGCTGATTGAAGGTAACACCTTGATTACAGTGATTTTTATGACTTTCCCCTCTTTTTAGAATCCTGATACAGTCAAGGCCAAGTTGATCTCTCGGATGGCTAAAATGGGCCAGCCCATGTTGCCCATCTTTCCGCCACAGCTGGATTCCAACGATTCAGAAATTGAAGTATGTTTCTCTGGCTATTTTAGAAAGAATAGTGTAGACATTGCTATCTTCTGTTCCTTTGGTTGAAATTATTGCTTTTTTTTGCCTCTAACCCTGAATCATTACTTAGAGATCTTATATTCAAAATGATATAGTTTGGTATTGGTACACACTTTTCTCCTCTGATTAACACTTCATCAGAGAACTAGAAGCAATTTCATACATCTACAACGAGAACTGGGCAATTTTAAGTAGGTAATTTAGTCTACTAAAAACCCTATTGTCAGTAAAAATCACTCTTTAGGCAGCATGACGCCCAACCCATAAAAGATGCTGAACTTGTATTTGTTGATTAAATGTTTAGGACCTCATGGTAAATGTTAATCTTCCCACTTATGTTACTGATGACTAAAAATCACCCTATCATGTCTTTTGGCATTGTATGTGGTATGATTTTTTTGAAGTTTAAGAATTTTATTGCTATCAAATCAGTTTTTTCCTTTTGTTTTTTGCTTTTTACTTTATGCTTAGAAAGCTTTCCTTCTTTCAGATATAAACATCATATGTTCTTTGTTGTTGTTGTTGTTGTTGGTTTTGTTTTTTACAACAGAAAAGAAAAGCTTTATTAGAAGGGAAAGTACACTTCCAGATGTGGAAGCAGGCCTGAGCAAGAGAAGCGTGGCTCAAAAGGCCCATGTGTGTTTTTAAGAAATATTTACTATTTTATATTTAGATCTAAAATTTTAAGTCATCTGGAATTTGATATATGATATGAAATAATTTAATTCTAACTTAATTCTTTTTTTGTTGGTTAGTTCCTTATTGAATAAATCCATCCTTTCTCAATTGAATTAAAATACTTAATAGAGATTATTAGGATTTTTAATGTAAAACAAAGCAAAGGTCATACTCCTAAGAAAAATTTTCCAAAATAAGCTTTATTTTTCACAATTTTATTTTATGTCTTTTGGGAAAGCTCTAGGTAGATTTAACGTTTAAAGGAGGATGGGATCTGTGGCCAGTTGTTATAGGGTTGATTTTTATCTAGTCTCTGGAAATGAAATTTGGATAAGATAATACTCTTATTAAATGTTTTAAGTGCTACTTTTTGTAGAAAAATTATAAAGAAACAAGAAATATATTTAACAAAAAGCATTCTTTATCTATTGCTTTGTAACGATTTTTTAAGTTGATGTATCATGAGCATTTACATTACTATCAATAATATAATGTAAATAAAGCAAAGCATTTTTTTCTTTAAAGGCAACCCAATGCTCTATTGGTTTATATTTTTTTTCACTCTGTTTTTAGACATTTAGGTTAATTTAGAGCTGTAGTGATATAAAACTGGGATGCTTTTCTAGAAATGCATAATTTCTGAGAATATCAGAGATGAGGAAGTATCAAAGTAAAAGAATGTTAAAGAGATTTCGACCCTTGAACTGTAGCATAGCAGATCACAGTCATTGTATGTTGCACCTCAGGTTTTTCTCTTCCTGTAAATAAGGAAGATGTTTGTAAGAAACCTTTGTTTAGAGTTACAGTAGGGACCAACATTGCCTTGATTTTTATGAAAAGAAAAAATGGGGGAAAAACACTCTAAAACTATATTATCCCAAAACATCATGGTAACAAATCCTACTCTATTTGATCGTCACTGAGTACCTTGAGGTTTATGGAAATTATTTGGCATAAATGAAGAGGCTGTATTATTCTCAGGGTTTTCTTGCAAGAGACCCCTCTTCTGTGGGAACAGACTAGGACAGTCTTAAGGTATCTGCTGGTTTGGTAAGTGATACATTCTAGAGAGCAATCACTTTAGCTGCTTCAGAGAGTAAAACATCAACAACTTAGATGTTTGAGAAAATTATATTTAATTATTTGATATGATTTACAGGGAGAAGGGATCTTACTTTATTACATAATAGAGTACTTTCTCCCCACAATCCCACACCCTAAACTTCCTGCTTGCCTTTCCTTCCTCTTTGCCTAGAAACCCTGTGTTGTAAGCAAGTTTAGGGTGAATAGTCAGCCTTACTCTTTAAGGACCCATACATAGTAACCAAAATGTTTGTGCCTTTTTCAGGAAGTGAGTGCTCTGCGAGGAGGAGCTGGACAACCCATGGTGACTCCATCCATCCAGCCCTCTCTTCAGCCAGCTCCTCCAGTGCTACCACAGACGGCTTCACAAAGTAAGGAAGCTTTTAGGCTCTGTGGCCTTGAATTGCATCAGCACCAAAGTTATCATCACTATCCCTTAAGTTATTAGGCTATATCATTTTAGTACAAAGAACTGGACTAGAGTGTAAAACTTTTCAGTTTATTCCTGGTTAGAGTATTTTTTTGCTGTGTCCTCTGGTGTTTTACATTGTCAGTTTTGGAAATCTTCACCCAGCTAATGAGATATCTCCCTCTGTGTAATTCTGCATTTCCTGATAGCTGATAGAATATCGGTCTGAGTCATAGGCACCCAAGAATACCCACTTTCCTTCCATTGACCCATTGTTGAGACTTCAGTAGAGTTGGTTTTAGGAGAAAATGGTGAGGAGAGTGGTCAAGTCTGAAACCGGACAGTATGTAAGGTGCTAGTCCACACTTGTACCAAGAAGCAAGGGAAAATAACGCTGAAAATTTCTTGCTTTATCTTAGCACTTCAACCATCTGTTTCTGGGCTCCAAGCACCCTCTTCTGCCTTAATGCAAGTTGCATCTCTTTTTCCTCACTCAACTGAATCTGGAAATACCCAGTCTTTTCAGGTAACAATGTTTTAAAACCATATCAGTTATAAGCTATAATTTATTATGATTCTAGTCAGTCTCTTCTTCCTGCATAATTCATACAGTAGCAACCTCAATCAGAGATGATAATTTTTCCCCTTCCTGAACCACCACTTTTTCATCTCTAAACCAGGCAGAGGATTACCTACCTTATAAAGGTTAAAATGCAAGAACAAGCAAAGCACCTGTTACAAGGTCTGGCACATAATCCAGGCCCAATCCATGTTTGTCTCCTTTCCTTTTCACACACATCTGGTTGAGAGGTATATATTTACATCTTCTATGTTCTTTTTCTATCAAATAGCTGATAGGCTAAGATTCTGCACTATACTTAAAGGTTGAAAGTGGAGGCTGTATAGAAAATATAGCTGTCTTGTGCCTTGTACCCAGGTGTCTAGTTATCCTCCAAAAGTGATCCCTTAAAGTATATTTTTCCAGTTTTTACAGAAGGCAGTGGAAGCAGCTTGTCTGCCTTTGCTAACTGTTTGCCAGGATAGTGGACTCTTTCTTCTGTCCCAGTACATTTGATGGATAAGACATACTCCCAATGATAGCAGGGCCTCACTTCCTTTGGTGATTCTTAATGGAGAGGTGGGAGTAATGATGGGTGGACTCTTGTCTCATTAGGACAGAGTATATCAGAATTGAAAAAAGTTCTACTTGCTCTTTTTCTACTCCCTGATGGAGAATTACTATCCTGTAGACTAAGATTTTTTTTTTTTTTTTTTAATATAATGAGTGGGTACCTGTCCCTGGAAATGAGCTGGATTTCCTAAATTCAAGGGAGAATAACTGGCATCATTAAAATGATAGCTGCTGTTTATTGAGCATTTACTATCTGTCAGGTACTTAACTTACCAGCTGTTTGAAACTTTACCTGTATATCACTTCATTTAGTCCACATAACAACCCTAAGAAGTGGTATCATTTTCATTTTACAGTTGAGGTGACTGAAGCTCAGAGGAAAATGAGAGCTCTTGGTTGTACAGATAAGCATTTGAATCTGGTGGGCACGAGGCATCCTTTGGAAACTGGTGGATTTGGTTTGGCTTCACAGGGAACACTTCTTTTACCTCAATGGAACCTAAGCAGAGTTTTCTTAGTTTTAACATTTCTTAGACCATTGATAGGCCCAATGGCTGGGGAAGAATTCCTACTTAATTAAATCATATCACCAGAGGACTGGAGAGTGACCTGAGACACTCTTCCCTCACTTTCTGGGTAGGACTTTAGTGACCAGGTACCACTGGGTTACATAGCTAACCCTTCTGCTGCAATTCTCGCCCGAATCCAAATCCTGATCTCATCCATCTCGAGCTTCAATAGGTATAAGTCTCCTCCTAGCTTATTCACTTTATTCCATCAAAGACAAATTAAGCTAAAAAGAGAGACATGACTCTTTTATAAACCAACTGTAACTTGGCATTTTCTCAGCCCTATGCAGGTATGCCCACCTATGCTTACCCCCAGGCATCAAGTATCACCTCCCAGCTGCAGCCCGTTCAGCCCTTGTACCCAGCATCGGTCTCTCATTCTCCCTATTTTCAAGGTAAGGGGTGATCTCCTAAGATTCTCGTCTTCTGCTCTTGCTGTGCTCTCCTTCCTCCCATCCCCTTTTCATGATTAGTCCATTTTTTTTCCTTTTTTAAACAGCTTTGTTGAAGTATCATTTACACACCATCCAATTCACTCATTTTAACTTTATAATTCAGTGTTTTTTTAAGTAAGTTTATAGAGTTGTGCAACTGTCACAATTCAGTTTTAGAACATTTCCATAATCCCCCAAAAAACCCTCATTATACTTTTTGGGTTTTGTTTCTTGCATTTTTTTCCCTCCATCCCTTTTTAATTCCTCTGTCAGAGTGGTTCTGTATAGTTTATAGAAAATAGTAAAACATTGGAGGAAATTGGGAGAAAGCATGATGACTATGGATATTCAGTATCTCAAATGAAAGCTACTTTGTTAAAATTTTTAATTATGAAAATAATATACTTTTATTAAAAAGTCAAACAGCACAAAAGAGTGTAAAGTAAAAAGTACTGTCCCTCCATTATTAAAACTGTTATTAACAGTTTCCTAGGTAACTTTAATCTTATATGCATATATAAGTATGATTGTCTCATATAAAAAACAAAACAAAATGTAAGTAGCTTGAATGGTGTCCTGCCTTTTTCTGCAGCTTGCCTTTTGCATAGTAATCACCTTTGGTATTAGGACAGTGGTAGGAAGAAACAAATATATCCTCCAACATTATTCATGGTCCTGAAGTGGTAAGGGTTTCCTGGATACAATCTTTGTTGGGAATCCCTGTCCCTTCTCCATCTAGGAAACCATCCAATTTGTTTAGCCTTCCCTGATTCTACCATCCCTCCCTCCTCTCTTCCCATAGACATAATTATGTCACCAAAGAGTTAATCTTGCTTTTCTCTGCTCCTTTTGTACCTTATACATGGCCCATTTTATGCACTTAAAACACTCCGTTGTAATAATCTGTTTACATGTGAGTCCCTCCCCACCAGACTGTGATCTTGCCAAGGGCAGGAACCATGTTTTATTCATTGCTGTATCCCTGGCATGCAGTTAGATGAATGAATCTGAGCTGCTAGCTGCTGTGGCAGACCCAAGTGGGCATAATTGTGCCCTTGGACCAGACTGTATCCCTCAATGCACTTTGCAGGGGCCTAGCTTAGTTATTGTTAGCTTTGAAGCCCTTCTGCCTCTGTCTGCTCTACATCTTCTCCTGACAGTGTGAATCATCTACAGCATCCACTTGTATTTGGAAATGTTAATTTCTTTTTTTCTTCTGCTGAAAGAGCTGTTGGCTTTTCCTCATACAGTATCATCTGCCCCAGTTTCATAAGTTTCCTTTTGGCTTATTTCTGTTTAGGATCAGGTGACATGGCTTCATTTCTCCTGACTGAAGCCCGACAACATAACACTGAAATTCGAATGGCAGTCAGCAAAGTGGCTGATAAAATGGATCATCTCATGACTAAGGTGACCAAGTCGGTGGGAGTTATATTGAAAGTGAGGTATAAACCGGGGATACAAATGGAGAACAACTAAGGCTGTAGGTAAACTATTCCTTGATTTCCTCTATTCATTCATAACAGTAGTTATTTCCCTAGAAGGATAGTTATTATTTTGGGATCCAGTTAGTAGAAGAAAACACTAGCTTACGTTAGAGATTATTTCCGAAACCCATTAAGCCCCTCAAAAAAGTGGCCCTATCTTGGGTACATTATATTTCTTCATTTAAAAATTTCTCACAGAGTCTTTCTGACACCACTTTTGTAGGTTGAAGAGTTACAGAAAGATAGGGCTGGCAAGTCCCTGCTCATTCCTAGAATGTCAGTTTCAATGGAAACAAGCACGACCATGAACGACATCCAGAGAATTATTCAGGTGAGAGCGACTGGGAACAGAACACTCACCCAGCCTGGAGGTCTCGCTCCTGGTGTCTCCCAAGATGTACTACCCTTTAAAACCTCCACTTTGGAAGTCAAGAGCTTGTGATAAATGCTACACGAAGTTGGGAAAATCTGGAAAATCCATATGGCTTAATTTGGTCCATTTGACTTATCACCATATAGTCAGGAGGAAACATTTCTTTTTTGACCATGTTTCAGAATTTCACTTTATTTTATAGCCATTTATATGTTCATTCTATTGGCCATAGTGATTTGTATCCATCAGGTATAATTTGATTTGTTGTTTTTAGTGTTATTTCTATCTGGACATAAATTCTAGTTTTTTTGTCTCAAAATATGTAATAGTGCCACTGTCAGTTCAAGTTGATTCTCTTTTATCTAGCTCTTTTCCCTTAAAAGCTTAAGTTATATGTCATGTATTTTGAATTTAGGAAAATGAAAGATTGAAGCAAGAGATCCTTGAAAAGAGCGGTCGGATAGAAGAACAGAATGACAAGATTAGTGAACTAATTGAACGAAATCAGAGGTAATGACAGCTACGGGACACGGGCTTGGTTGGACAAAAAGGTTTAATTTGTAAATGCTCAAGTTAAATAAACATGTTTGTTTAGAGCAGTTTATCTGTATTTCTGCTATTTCTATTTCCTGCCTGTCTTGTGAATTATTGCTTGTTTTCCGGGAGACATTTCAGTAGAAAGAGTTCAGTAGGCTGTGATGTAAAGCAGCTGTGTTTTGAATCCCGGTTCTGCTCCCCATTTGTTACCTGGCTTTGGGCATTTTAGTTATTCCTGCCAGCCATAGTTTCCTTATCTATAAAAGTGATATTAATACTTAGAAAACTGATATCAACTCTGCTCTCTTTTGTGTAGGCTGACTGTTTAATCAACCAGAACTTCACTGATTTCCATATTAAACCCAAGCATTTTGTAATTTTTCTAGATCCCCTGAAGATTTAGGCAAGGTGGGGGTGGGTCAAGGGTACATGTCACAACATATAGCATTTTATTTTTAAAAAATCATTTTCCTGTATTCCTCTTCTTCAGTGTCTCATCTCTCACATGGAGTAGCTTTTTTTTTCTTACTTCCTTGCAGCTTCTTTATTCCAGTCTCTTTCCCCTCTCATTCTCTCCCACCATACTCCCTTCCCTTTCAAATTCCTCTCCTCTTCATTATGCAAATTCGAAGCAATTCATGTCTGGTCCCAGGTTCCTGTCTCCAAATTTGATTGCTGCAGATCTAAGAGAAACAAACTGCTTTCACATTGTTTTTCAAGAAGGTATAGAGCAATGTTGTGAAGACTGAATGTGCATTGGATTGCACCTGGTATACATTTGGTGCTCAATAAATGTTTTCTTTTTTCCTGTTTATTTCATAGGTACATTGAGCAGAGTAATCTGATGATGGAGAAGAGGAATGACTCACTTCAAACAGCCACAGAAAACACATGGGCAAAAGTATTGCATGCTGAGCAAGAGAAGGTAAAGTAACTGGGGAGAGAAAAGCCCAAGTTAGGATATGTAGAGCTAAAGAGTGTTCAGCAGAAATTTTTCATCCTTGGGAAGAAAACTAAAAGTCTTCCAGTAGATTTTAATATATCCATTATTGAGATTTCTGTTTTATAATTTGCCTTGTAATAATTTGACTCAGAAACAATTACTGATCTTAGTAATTTAAGGTAAGAATGACACCACTTATTAGAAACTAAATTTATTCTGTTGACAAAATCAATAGAAAATTCCTATTATGCCATGTAACATGTTTTTAGTGAAATATAAGATTGTTCAGTTTGCTCCTTCATCTGTGTCTGCCAGAGCGTTTTGAAGCATTGCCCTTGAACCTCAGTCAGTTCAGAATTAGGAATTTCAACCTTTTCCTGGAGTAGCTATATGGAAGACTCTAGTGGGTCTTGGCTTGGGATTGACTGATTCTCAAGCCCATCCTCCTTTCCTTGCTCCAGTGGTACTTTACCTGGAGTGGATTCCTTCTTGTTTGGGCTTCCACTTCTCAGCTGGGAGCTCTTAACTCTTTCTTCTGCTATTTTCTCAGAGGTTTGAGAAATAGTTTATATTTTATATTTGAATTTTTCTTAAAAACTTGAAAATTTGGATAGAATGCATTTTATAACCTGTGGAGTTTACTCACTTTCTCAAATTTTGATAACAATGAGGATTCCTTACTTATGTCTCATGCTATTATTTTTTGTGTTCTCTTAGCCATAGTATCCGGGCAAGTAATATCTTTGATCCCTTATCCTCAGATAAGCAATGCCTTGCCCTGCACAGCCCTGTCCAGTCCTGACTCTGATTCTTTTCCATTACTACTTTTCACCATCTCTTGTTTATTGTGACTGACTCCTAATGTCTAGATCAAGTTCAGTAGCCTGTGACAGTGGTATCATTAAACAGTACTGGAGTCGCTTCACCACTCTCCACTTTTTGCTGTTTCTCCTTCCTTTACTTTCCTTCCTTCCTTCCTTCCTTCCTTCCTTCCTTCCTTCCTTCCTTCCTTCCTTCCTTCCTTCCTCTCCCTCCTTCCTTCCTTCCTTCTTCCTTCCTTCCTTCCTCTTTTTCTTTCTTTCTTTTATTTTTTTTTTCTCTTTTCTTTTCTTTCCGTCTTTTCCTTCTTTTCTTTCTTTATTTAACCCTTAGGCCTCACAGGGCATCCAGATGTATTGTTTGGTCTCACAGTTCAGGTCTAAAATGATTACTAAAACTTGTTCTAGATCAGTGGTTCCCAAACTGGTCTGGCTGCCTCTGAATAACTTGAGGAGCTTGATTAAAGATATACATTCTTAAGCCTCACCTTGAGATTCTAATTAAGCATATTTAGCTGAGGTCTGAATCTGAACTTTTGAAAAGATCTCCTTGATTCTCATACACAGCCAGATAGGAATCACTGCTCTTGTTAGTAATTTCTTTTGCCACAGCCTCTGGAGGTGGCAGCTGGACACCTTTGTTTTTGGTAAGTTTACTGTGTGTTTTTCATGTTGAATATCAGAGTGAGTGAGTGAATGAGTGAGAGTGTGTGTGTGTGTTCGTTTCAATAAAATTTAATTTACAAAAAATAGGCAGCACATCAGTTTGGCCTACAGATCATAGTTTGCCAACCACTAAATCCACTGAAATGTTTCATATTGGTAAACTCCAAAAGTATATGGCATGGTGCATTGATCCTGATAGCATCTGTCAAATACCTACTAGGTTGTAGGCACTGTGCTTTTACACAGATCTGTTTGAGGGCATATCCTGGGCTGACTATCACTGTTCTTGATGAGTCAGGTACTAAATACCACATGCTTCACTTGGTCACCTTTATTTCAGTGAAACTTTTCAAGGCTTGATCCTTTTCTGTTTTTCTTGTGATCCACTTTCTTTCATGACAGTCTTCCCTGTGATATCTTTCCTCTTAAAGGGAGGTAATCAAGGTTCTTTCATTTCTGGAGGCAGTTTTTTGCCTTCAGATGCAACTCAGGGAGTTATGGTTAAATACTCAATGAATATTTGGTAAATGAAATTATTTTTTTTCTATGACAATATTATCATTTCCACATAAAGCTATGGAATAATGGTTAACACTGGAAGAGCTGTTAGAAGTCATTTAGTTTAACCTTCTTTATAAGAGCAAACTGAGGCCTGGCGAAAGTAAAAGAGTTGGCTAGGGTCTTATTTCCAGATACCTATGTTCTTTTTCCTTTGCCAAATTGCCATCTTTTTTTAGTACTATTTTCCTCCTTCTAACTTGAATGTTTTTTTCATCTGTTTTTCTGAATTCTTGGTTCTTCCTGTCATTGCTTTCTTTTCCCAGCTCTCCATGTCAACAGCAGAATTTGATCCAGGGTGGGAACCAGGGAGCCATTCCATGCACCATGTAGGTTTTTGATGTTTTCTTTTCTTGCTTGATATTGTAAACCCTTACTTAAAAAGAAAATTATAATTATACACACATACATGCACATACATATATGTATTCACACATAGTTTTTTCTCATAACAAAAGTTACATCTGTTCATTCTAGAAAATTTAAAAAATACAGATAAGCAAGCATAAAATATAACTCACCCATCATCTTCCCACTCAAAAAAGGTAACCATTTTTAATGTATTATTCATCCCTTCATTGTTTACTCTATGCATGTATGTGTATGTCTGGGTGAGAATATTACCTTTCATGCTTCTAATAGGCCTTTCTGTATAAGCTCCTGAGATAAAAAGAGCTTTTGAGTGACCTTTCACTCTGCTTATCCTTTGGTTAGAGAGCGACCATCTATTCCACTGCTTTCCCTCCAAGGGTCTTAGCTGCTGCAGGGCTCGTGTGAGTGGTCCTCACTCTAATATTAGTGAACTCTCGAGCTACAGATAAATGCAGAGCTCTCTGAGCATTGTTTAAATAAGTTTAACATTGCAGTGGACACAGTGAACACCATAAGAAAGGGCAAGTAATAAGAAAGTAGACAACTATAAATATGCATGTAAAGTATAGTAGTATAAGAGGAATCATGGTTATAGCAATATAATAGTAGAGAGGAGAAGGTCCAACCCCATAAATACGTTGCTATCCAAAAATCAAGGCTAGTCACCAGCAGAGCAACCACTCACTGTATTTTGTCATCTGATTTCTCCTAATTTTTATAGAGGCACATCAGTTGAGGTGAAATTAATGTGGTATTTGTCATTTGTTCACCATTCCTTTTTGTTGACATTCTTTTAATCATTTTTGTCATCACCCTTAATACACAGAATATCTTTAGAGGGTTTTCCCGGGTAGTCATTTTGATTTCATTAGATGTTACTCGAGAATATTTTGCTCCTGTTTGGCTAGTACAGAGCATCACTTAAAATACACTGAACAGTCAAAAAAGTTGAAGTGTTCTTTCTTTTATTTATTAGGTCTTTTCTTCCAAAATCTCCCAAAGCAGTAACTCTCATGAGACTGATCTTTACATTATAGTGCTACTAGTATACAGTATTACTGTGGAAAAATTAGACTCAGAAGTTGATTGCCATTGAAGACATTCAGTTTAAATTTTAAAATATCCTTTTTTATTTAAAAAAATAAGTTTATTGTAGAAAAGTTAGAAAATGGCAGAAATACATTTTTCATGTATCAGATCAGTAACATTTAACGATAGTCTGTGACTATATTCTGTGCCACTGAGTATTCTTTTATAACACCATTCTTAATAGTTGCATACAAGATAGGTGTACCATAATTTGCTTAATCAAGCCCATTTTTAGCATTTTATTTTTCCATTCTTTTGCAGCTATAAATAATGCTGCATTAAACATCCATGTAGCAAAATTTTGTAATCTTGCATAGTGTTTCCTAGGGACAAATTTCTGCAAGGGAATTCCTGAGTCAGAGACCTTGCACATTCTGAAGGCTTGGTTTTAGTTTAATGCAAGTTGAAGGTAGGCTTAGCTCCCTTCCTACCAGTACAGTCAGCATAGAATACGTGAGGTTGGGTCATCACTTAGAGACAAAGTACACCCATGTTTAAAGTGATGTCATACTTTGTTACTATTCAGGCCAAGGTGACAGAAGAGTTAGCAGCAGCCACTGCACAAGTCTCTCATCTGCAACTGAAAATGACTGCTCACCAAAAGAAAGAAACAGAACTGCAGATGCAGCTGACAGAAAGCTTAAAGGAGACGGACCTCCTTAGGGCCAAACTCACCAAACTGCAGGCAGACATCTCAGGTATGTCGTTGGTGGAGCGGGCCAAGACTTTGACCATTTATACTTAAGAATATAACTGTTTCCTTCTTCCCAATGCATTTGGCATAATGCTCATGAAGTTTGTGAAGGACTCAGCCAAAAATTAAGGTGGACCAGTATAAACCTACATTATTGCTTGACATAAAAGGCAACAGAAGAACTGACTCTCCATTTAGTTGATCAGTGGCCACAGTTCCACTTTGGGCAGGTGTTAACTTCAATATCTTCAGTAGGCCTGGAAGAGTTAATGTGTTCCTCCAACTCATGACAGTGGAAGTGTATGAAAGAGGTGTTTCCTGTACTAGTTGCCTCTTTCCTAGAGGATGGATTGCAACTCTTCAGCCAGCACTCAAGGCCTCTCCTGCTTGGCTTATTTTCCATTATGTTGTTCAGTTCATCCTGGCTCTGGACATACCAGCCTGCCTGCTGCTACTCTTCAGCATGTCCTGTACTTGTCTTGCTTTTTATCCATGCTGTTCTCTGGACTTGGCGTGCCCACAATCATATATATTTGCCTCCATTTCTTTCTAAAATCTGCGTATTTCAGGAGCTTTCTTAGTTTTTTCTAGAAGATTTAGTCTCCTTTAAAATCTTTTGTCTCTGACATCATTATGACCATTATCACATGTTGTCTTTGAACAGCACTATTTATGTCTGCTTTCCCCTCTGGAATGCAAGCCCTTGGAGGATAAGGATGTTGTCTTGTAAAGTTCTTTGTAAAATTCTTTCCTCCAAATTAGTGTTAACTGAATGCCTGGTACAAAGGTGGTACTCAAGACATGGTGACTTGAGTAGAAGATCTGGGGAGACCAGCATGTCGATTCATCTACCTCAGTGTATAGAGACAAATGTAGAAGGCACAGATGGGACCAGTGAGTGGGGTGTAGCTGGAGCAGCAGCAGAGTCAGGGAGAAGCAAAGTTTACTTGCCTGATAGCTAAAAAACACTGATGTCAGTTAGTAAAGTGATGCCTTGAAGATAAATCCCTTTTCTTTTAGAGCAGGGGTCCCCAAGCCCTGGGCCATGGACTGGTACTAGTTTGTGGCCTGTTAGGAACCAGGCTGCACAGCAGGAGGTGAGTGGTGGGCAAGTGAGCAAAATTTCATCTGTATTTGCAGCCGCTCCCCAGCGCTAGCATCACTGCCTCCTCTCCACTTCAGATCATCAGGCATTAGATTCTCATTGGAGCACAGATCCCTGATGCCAGAAAGGTTGGGGACCACTGTTTAGAGCATAATCT